GAAAACACATAAGAGAATTTTATACACAACTTTATGCCTATAAATTCAACAACTTACATGAAATGGAAAAATTCCTGGAAAGACAAAAATTACCAGACCTAATGCAAGAATAAAGAGAAAATTTGATTTCTATATCAATTAAAGAAATTGAATTCATGATAAGAAAAGAATCTCCTAAAGAAAACTGCAGACCAGGATGACTTCATTGGTAAATCCTAACAAACATTTAAGAAATAACTAACATCAATCTTACACAAACTCTTTCAGAAAATTGAGAAGGAAGGAACACTTACCAGCTCATTCTATGAAGCAAACGTTATCTGATAACAAAGCCAGACAAGGACATTAAAAGAACAGAACACAGGGCCCGGCCTGTGGCCAAGTGGTTAAGTTCTCAGGCTCTACCTAGGCGGCCCAGGCTTTCACTGGTTTGGATCCTGGGCTCAGACATGGCACCACTCATCAGGCGGTGTCCCACATGCCACAACTAGAAGGACCCATAACTAAAATATACAACTATGTACTGGGGGGATTTGCGGATAACAAGCAGAAAGAAAAAAAAAAGAATAGAATACAGACTAATATCTCTGATGAACATAGACATAAAAATTCTTCATAAATATTAACAAATAAAATCCATCATTTTAAAAGGGTAATACAGTACGACCAAGTAGAATCGAAAGGTTGGTTTAAAATTTTAAAATCAATGGAATTCGCCACATTAACAGAATAAAAGAGAAAAATTATATAATTATCTCATGGAGGCAGAAAAAAGCATCTGACAAAATTCAACACACATTTATGATTAAAAAAAAGAAAGAAAGAAAGAAAGAAATGCTCAGCAAACTAGGACTAGAGGGGAACATCCTCAACCTAATAAATGGTATCCATGAAAATCTTACAGCTAACATCACACTAAACGGTGAAAGAGAGATCAAGTAAAATAAAAGAAGTATTTTCTGAAGATCAAGGAAAAAGCAAAATGCTCTCTCTTGCCAATTCTAATCAATATTGTACTAGAGATCCTAACCAGCAATAAAGCAATAAAAAGCAATAAAAAAAAAAAAGAAAGGCTTAAGAAAGGAAGAAGTGAAACAGTCTCTATTTGCAGATAACATTGTTGCCTGGGTAGAAAATCTGAATGAATCTATAAAACAACTATGAAAACTAGCAAATCATCTGGCAAGGTCACAAGAGACAAGGCTAATATACAAAAATCAATTGTATTAGTACGAAACACTTAGAAAATTAAATTTAAAAATCAATTTCATTTACAAAAGTGTCAATAAAAACATAGAATACTTTGGAACAAAAGCTTTAGGATTTGTAAGACCTCTACACTGAAACCTACAAAACATTGCCAAAAGAAATTAATAACTTTTGAAAGAAACTAAATAAATGGAAGAATATACCATGTTCACAGGTTGAAAGACTCAATATTGTGATAACGTTACTTCATCTCAAATTAATCTATAGGTTTAATACAATCTCTATAAAACTCCCAACAGGCTTATTTGTAGAAATTGACATGCTGATGATTAAAATGTATACGGAAATGCAAAAGACTTAGAATAGTCAACGAAATTTGAACATGGAGAGTAAACTTGAAGGAACTGCATTACCTCATTTCAAGACTTACTAAAAAACGATAGCAATTAAGATAGAGTGGTATTAGAGTAAGAATAGATATACGGAGTCCAGAAATAGAACTACACATAATGGTCAATTGATTTTCACAAAGGCACCAAGCTGATTCTATGAAGGAAAGGATAATCTTTTCAAGAAATGGTGTTGGAATAAGTGGATATCAGTACAGGAAAAAATGAATCTTGACCTAGAGCTCACACTATACACCAAAAATAAGCTTAAAAGGGATCATAGGCCTGGACATAAAAGCTGAAATTATAAAATTCCTAGAAGGAAGGATTCCGTCAAAATTAAAACTTCTGCTCTTCAAAGAACACTATGAAGAAAAAGAATAGGGAAGCAACAGACCATAAGAAAAAATCCACTATATATATATATATATATCACAAAGGATATGCATCCAGAAAAAAGAACTTTTACAACTCAGTAAGAAGACAGACAACCCCATGAGAAAAACACACAGGCAAAAGATGTGAACAGACACTTCACAGGAGAAGATGGAGCTGCTCTGCATCACAGAGGGGCTCATCCAACAGGCTGCATGTCCCAGACTCCTGTGTCAGCCAGTGGGAAGCACTGGTGAGAGATTGGAGGGCGGGGGAAAAGGAAGAAGCCAGGGTATTTCTCCTCCCGCCCCTCTGCCTGGGACGTCTTCTCTAGCAGCAGCTTCTCATGGCTCTGGCTTTCTGAACAGGCCTGCCTGATTCCAGATCACACTGGGCTCCAGTAACACCAACCCTTCTGTTTGCTTCTCCAGCTGCAGGTGGGAGTGGCTTCCTGCTCTGACGAATGTCTGAGCTACTTCACTGAACCCTGTCTGTCTTCTGGGCTCCTCCATATCACCTGTGTAATAAATCCCCTGTATTACATTCCCTCTGTTATAAATACTTGACGTGGTTTCTGTTTGTTCCTGGTCAGCCCCTGACTGCGTACGGACAGTTGGTCACCCGGTACACAGAACCCTTGGGACTTGCAGAACATTAATTGTCGTTGTGTATGTGCTTCTTCAGAGTCCACTGTAAGTGTGGGCTCTCTATCAATTGCTTTGCGGAGGAAGCTTTGCATCCCTCTGATCTTTTTAGTAAAATACCTCCTGCTAATTCCTTATGACCCAAGGGGATGGCTTCTCTCTGTTTTCAAGGTTTTATGGCCAGATGCGTGGTTCTGCGTATTTGTTTCTGGAGTTCGTCTCTAGTGCAGCAATGGGGGGAGTATTTTATCCCTTTCCTTTAGCTGAGAAGAGTAACTTCCTGACTGAGATTCCAGTTGATAGAGGATTTTTTCTTGCCATGGGGCAGAACCCTGGACACCAGGTCCCTTCCTCTGTCACACACACACACCTCTCCACCCTTCCCACGGCACCCTCAAACCGACCACACACAGCTCAGACCTGTTGCTGTTTGCTTAACAATTTCACACACCATGTGGTTTGGGCTGAATTTGCATGGTGCTGAGCTCTGTGGAGGACGCTTGGGTTTGTCAGACAAAGGTGCCCCCCACCAGAATTGGCTACACAATTTGCAGAGCCCAGGGCAAAATGAAATCGCAGGGTAACTTGTTCAAAGAATGTCAAGACAACACCAGCAGAGCATTAAACCAAGTGCACAGGTCGCACACCCATGGCCCTAGCTCTGCCCCACCTCTGCCCAGGACAGCACCAAGGGATTACAGCCTGCTTTAGGGAGACCAGATTTAGGCTCCTAAAACAGTGTCAAATGAGATGGGATGAATGGCCACGTGTGGCCTATGTGTGGTCACAGATGGTGACTGTTCCAGGGACAAAGGACTTCTCTTGGCCACAGCATTTGGGGATGAGGGGGGCCCTGGAAGGGGAAGGAGGGAGATGCACTTGCCCATGAAATTCAACCAGGGCAAGGGGGCCCATTTTACCAAATAATCAGGCTGTGAGCTCAGGCTCTGTGCTGCGTCCACCTTGCCTACCCCAAGGCTTCAACAGCTCATTCACCTTCCTCATCTGCCTTCGCCATGTGACTTCGTGTTGTTCAGAAGAAGCCACGTGAGACGTGACCAAGCTAAGAGGGAGGGGGAATCCTTTAGCCTGGACCAGCAGCCTGTGGATTAATCACAACCTATCTATGCAGAGAGAGAAAAATCTCTGTATAGAGACGCAGCAATTGACAGACCTCCAAGCCGAATAAGGCCATGGGAAAGACCTGGGCGGTGGGGACAGGCTCAACTCAGGGCTGGCACCTAGCAGGGGAGCCGCAGGTACAGTCTGGATGAGAGGGGATCTGCATTCGAATAGTAGTTCTGCCACCTGCTACGTGATCTTGGGATAAAAGATTTCATGTCCTTGATCCTCAGTCTTATCACCTGTTGTATAGGAATGATATCTATCTTATTTGAGGATTAAAGCTAATATATATAAAAATGCCTGGCCTAGCACACCTTTGGTAAGGGATTCTCAAAAACAGCAGTCTGTGTATATGAATACACGTATTATACATATGGCTATATCATATGTACATATATTGATATAAACTGTTATATTTGCATATTTATGTAAATATGCTTTCATAGGTCTCTAGAAATGTAGTTGTGTGACCATTATATTGAACGACTTTCTCCATTCTCCCCCCTCGCGCCCAACTGTCCCTTCAGAACAGCTCTGCAGGGCGTTCTTGCCCCGGGGATAAAATCTCAGGCAGGTCCCACGGCTGTTCTGGCCATTCTGAGATAATGAACAGTCCTGCGGTCAATTTCAGTCCCAAGCACAGCCTCACTTCAGTAATTAAAATGTCAGGCCCAGGGTTATAATCCCTCCCTCTCCCCTCGCCCCACGGAGGGGCCTCCCCAGCTCTGGCCAGCTTTAGCCAGGGAGGCCCGCCGTGGGCATTGATGAGGAGGCCTCTCCGCTTCCTGGCCTTGTGCTTCTCCTCCCCTCCTCCCCCAGCCCCCGCCAGCCCACCTGGTTTGGAGGAGAGGAGGAAGAAGAGAGCTTGTTCCCTTGTAATTCCCTTGTTGCCGTGTAATCCCAGGCTGCTGGCTGCTGTGGACGTTCAAACCTCACTCTTTCTCTTGAGGGGGAGGGTGCTTTTTCTGGGTTTGTCTGAAACTTCTCCTGCTACTCGGGACACCCCACGCCCTGGGCTTTCAAAGGTCCCCCCACTCAGACGTTCCCAGTTGGGGTCACATGGCCCCACTGGCCAACTGCAGATCCCCTTGTCTCATGGGAACACTCGTGCAACCAGGCCCCCAGTCCTAGGGGACATATGCTAAGCTTTCTGAGTGGCCCCCCTGAGGCTGTCTCCCTTGGCTTGAAGTGAGGAGGAAATACCACCTCCTGGGGAAGCAATGGGAAGAGACTAGGGCAGAAAAGGTTGTGAAATGGGGAAATGTACCACATTCCAACCACTCCCTTCAAAGAAATCCTCTGCCTGGCCTCTTTATTTCAATCCTTTTATAACCTCCTGGGGGTAACATTTTAGCACCCTATTATATCTAGACAAATACCTAGATGGAGAAATTAGACAGACAGTCTTCATAAAGGCCTGCTGGGCATTAAAATTTGAAAAACTCAGATTATGAGTATAAGCAAAAAAGAATCTGAAAAGATAACTTAAAAGTAAATCTGTTGTACACAAGGCAGAGCTGTTCATTCATCCACAGCTTTGGAGCGTGTGCTATACTGGACTAGACTCCGGCCAGGAGCTCCCACCTGGTCAAGGAGATGCCCATGAGCAGCCAACCAGCTGGAAGTAGCAAGAGACGAAACTCAAAAGGAAAGATCGGGCAAGCATGTGGGCTTTATACTCCAGGCCAGGAAGTTTGCGTTTTCCCCCTAATCATGTGGTTTCCCCATCAGGCGTCCTGACCCCTGAGAGTCCAAGTAGCAGCTATGGGGAGAGGGGATCGATGAGCTATTTTCAGCGATTCTAGAAGCTTAGCGGGAACCGTACATTTACCCAGGATAAAGCTGCATAGTTCAGTAAGACATCAAGTTTCTTTGCTTTGAGTTGAAATTTTATTAGCACTTCTTATCTCCTGGTAACCAACAATTCGATTGGCAGGCACATGACTTTGATTACTTGTAAATGGAGACATGAATTAACGTATAAGTTATGGAGTTTGATTTACACGTGGTCCATAGAAGAAAATTATTAAAAGAGAGAGCCATGGAAGAGGATCAGACCTGGGTTTTAGAACCATCTCTGCAGCTGCAGGGGGGAAAATGGATTGAAGGGGCCAAGGATGGAGGTGGGAAGCCTGACAGGAAACTGCTTGGTCACCTGGGAGAGGCCGGTGAGTGACCAGGCTCCAACTGTCTGTCTGTCCATCTGTCTGTCCATCCATCCACCATCCACTCATTCAACAAATTCATTGAGCAGCTATGATGTGCCAGACGCAGCACGATGTGCTGGGGACTCAGCAGGGACGAGCCGCAGAGATAGAGCCTGGCCTTACCAACCGTGCCATCCACGAGGAAGCAGCTGTGAAACCATTGCACGAACAGATGTGCGGTTAAGAATCAGGATGGGTGCCTTGAAGGCTAAGTCAAGTGTGCAAGCACAGCAGGACAGGGTCTTGATGTTGATCATATCATTGGGCTTTTAAGGTCTTGGGAGATACATGGGCTTCCAAGAATGACATGCTGGAAGAACGCATCAGCCATAACCAGAAAATCCACCGTTCTTGACCACAGAATGAGAAGGGACTCTATCTGCCTCCTGCACCACCGCGTGCTCCCTACTTACAAGACGGTTCCAGCACAGGGTGGTATCATTATGTATTCACTGAGTGTATGAATGAAAAGTTACCTATAACCTAGGCTGGCATTTTAGTTCGTCTATTTAACAAACACGGAATACTAATTTACCATGTGCCAGACACTGCTGGAAGTTCTTTACAAGTATTAACTCAGTTAATCCTCATAACGACACCCAGGAGGTATAAATTTTGATGAACCCCACGTGACAGATGGTGAAACCGAGGCTGAGCAGTTTACGTCTGTCTCCACCAGTGGCTCTCAAAGTGTCGTCTCCACGCCAGCAGCATCCGCATCACCTGGGAGTGTGTCAGAAATGTAACTTCTCAGGCCCAGATAAGAAGGTCAGCTCTTTTTAACAAGCCGCCCAGCTGTTCCGGGCACCTGCTGTGGTTTGAGAAGCACTGGGCCACCCCTGCTGAATTTATCCAATCATACTCCTCCAATCATAGGAATTTCCTGTGGTCTTGTTAAAACTATAACTTCTTAATACAACCCCTCTTCCAACCTGCTGAATCAGATTGGGAGGGGACCTGAGAATCTGTGTTTTCTGGCAAATTCCCCATCAGGCAGGTTTGGGAAACATTCACCCACATTTAACACTGCACTGGAAGAAAACAAAGGTGAGACTTCACAGAGTGTGGTGTGGGTGTGCAGGTGAGTGGGTGTGTAAACCCACGGACGGCAGGTTTATCTTTTCTGAACGTCCAGTCAAACATTGCAGCTGTTCCATCCCCGGAGTTGAGGGCACAGCAGATCATAAGCAAAGTCACAGATAGAAATCTCCCCGGCTGGAGCGCGGGTGTGTAATGTTCACAAAGTCCTAATCAGAAGAGCAGATTCCATCTCCGGCAGGAATGTTAATGCCGCCTCAGTCAGATCCGTGCAGACCAGCCTCAGAAGTCCGGTGCTCCGGGCAAAAGTCTGCCTTTATTGCTGTCCCTTTGCGAAGCAGAGGCTGTTCTGGCCAGGGATTTCCTGTAATAAATACCTTTGTCATCTTGACTTAAGAAGCTGTTGACCTGAAACACCTTGGACTGAAATATTAGCTCTGCCTACCTCTCCGTGGTCACCTGGGCTGTCACAGCTTTTGGGTTTGGGGGAGGCTGGGGAGAGAATGGACAGGTCAGGGAGGGGTGGAATCACCTGTGAATAGTATCATTTCCCCTCCCCAAATCTCCTGGTTTTCACCTACCAAGACCAAAAGGGGAACGATGTTAAAAAAAAATTGGATATAAGTTGGCAGAACTTTTAAGGTTAATATTTCTAAATTAAAAGGATAAATCCAGGCATATGGTTTTTAACCCAGCTTTCGATTTAGCAGGCACTTTGGGAGATCCATGATGCTCAATCCGTCCAAAACAGACGAAAATATACTTGACTGGGCTACAGAGGGCATGGGATTTAGGTCCTGCTCTGCCACCACTTACCAGTCAGTGTGGCCTTGAGCAAGTCGTTAAACCTCCCCAAGCCTTGAGTTATTCAACCATAAAGCGATGGTAATCACACCCGCGCAGCCAATCTCGGGGCTTGTTGGGAGGATTATGAGAGAAGACGGCTGTGAAAAGTGCTTTGCAAACTATGAAATGCTCTCCACGCGTGAGGGGGAATCATGACATCAGAGCAGGCGTGGGCCGTGTGCAGACCCCAGACCTGGAAGCATCCGACACAGAGGAAGGTGGGTGGGCAGGGTGATGCTGTAGGGCCGGGGGTGGGAGATAGTGACTCTGTGGAAACAGCTGACTTTCACGATGAAATCCATGTCCTCAGCTTGTCAGTATGACGCCCATGGCGCCATGGCCAAATGGACCCAGGGAATCCTTTCTCTTCCTGGACACCGTAAAAGTCAAGATCTGGCCCTTAGAATCTAGCTCTGGCAACAGAGGTATGGGAGACACCAAAGCTAACGGACTTGCAGTGGTCTGCAGGAGCCAGCCACACTGGCTTACAAGAGCCAACCGTGCATTTCTTCCCAACTCTGCCTTCAGCGACATCACGTTAGTAGCATGAATGCGCCATAGTAGAGATAGTTACACCATGGAAATTGGCAAACACTACAAGTCAGGTGCTTTTTGTTGTTGTTGTTGTTGTTCAGAGAGCAAGTTGTTAACACTTACCAGTGCATCACTGGGTGACAGCAGAGACAGGATGGGATCTGAAGAAGGCCACTGCAAAAGCTAAAGGGGACAGACAAGAAAATTCTCTCTCCACTCAGGTGTGAGGGTACCATTAAACTTCCACTGATTAATCTAGGAAGACTTCTAGAAGGAGAGAGCATTTTGTAAACCACTTATCCAGTGAGAGATTGCCTTCTCTCTATGTGCACTGGGGCAAAACCCACCCCCTCGACACACATGCTCCAGTACCAGACTCAGTGCCACCGCTTCCAGGCTGTCTTCCCTGATAGTCTTTACCTTACTCTACAGGGAACTCCAGCATCCTCTCAGTTCCTACATAGACAGTAGAAGGTGATTCTTCAGAGCTCAGGCTTTAGAGTCAGAAGTCTCAAGCTAAAAATCCCAATTTGACCACTTACCAGCTATTCATGGGAAACTCAGTGAATCTATCCGTGAAATGAGGCTAAAAGACCCTCTAGCCATCAAGAATTGTTAGGAGAGGATAAACGAGCTAATGCTTATAAAGCACTTAGCCTAGTTCCTGGCACACAGTAACTGCTTAATAAATACTCACCATTATGACAACAGCTCCTCTGAGCTGTCCTTCCACTTGTCATAGGCAAAGCTGCGTCTCTCCAGCTGGACTGAAGTTCCGTGAGGACCCTGACTTCTTCATCTCTCGGTCCTCCACAGGGCCTATAAAGGCTCAGCACACAGGAAGTCCTCAGGAAATCTACGTGGACTTAAATGAAACTGAAAGCAGACAGGTTTCCTTTCTACAACTTCTCTCCTCAAAGATCGGACGAAACAGTGACAAGAAAACGCCAGGTGGGAACAGGTCAACGGTCAGTCAACAAGTGTCTGCTCTGCTCTGCAGCTGAGAGCCCTCACAGCTGAGCCCTTCTCCAGAACTTGTCCTCATCTGGAGTCCTGGCAGGAGTATGAGACCCCAGCCCCTGGCCTTGATTGAGGACGTCTCTCAGGGCCCTCCCAGCCCCAGAGGTCTCCGTGGGATCCCCTGGGAGCTCTGATACAATTGCATCGAAATCCCATCTCTCTCAGCCCAATCCTGCTTTCCTCACTCCTTTGTAGGTTTTGTTCCTAAGAATCTACCTCTAGCAGATGTCCTGCACGCTAACCTCTGTCTCAGATCCAAGGCAGCACGCAGCAGGTTTGCGCCCCTGGCCAGAGCCAGGACTCACTCCCCAAGCTCCCACTTCTGTCATTCAGAGGAGAGGACGAGACCTCAGTCCTTTAAGATCACAGCTCATTTGCAAATAGATTCCAGCACATTCTCAGATGACTTCTTCCCCACCTCCGTGGCTGGCCACAGCTTCACTAAGGGCTCCCCTCGAAGGTCAGATTTTAGCAAAGGAGCGTCCCCTCCCTCTCTGATCCCATCTCTTTTTGCAATCTTGATGCTGGAGCCCTTGGTCAGCGCCTGTCTTAGGTCACATTCAGAAGCAGACTTTGAAGTGAGAATTTATTTATAATGCATGTATTAAGGAAGTGCTCCCAGGGGAGAATGGAGGGAGGGAGTGGGTGGAGCAGGACAGGGAAGAGAGAGAAACGAAGCAAGGTGCCATCCCATCCCAGGCAAAGTCCTAGGACCAGCCTGAGCGCACGAGGAGCTCTGGAGGGTAAATCACAACTCAGAGTTTGTCCTGCCTCGAGTTGAGGGAGCTGGGCTTAATGCTCTGGTTCCCGTCAGCCATTGGCGATGGACCCCAGTGAACGCAGGCACGGTCAGCCCTGTGCCTGGGCCAATGGCTCCAAGGGCCCAAGGGTCGCCTCCTGAAGAAGGTTGCAGGCAAGGGCCATTGGAAGCAAAGCGCACAGAAGCGGGCGGTGGTCACACCAAGAGGATAAAGGGGCCCTGTGGATCTGGGCGGAGCTTCGGCAGCCCCCGCTACAGCTCCACCACTGATGTTGAACTTGAGAATGGAAAACAAAGACTTTGGGGTAATACTGTCGTGTCAGGAAGAGAACACCAGCCTTGGCCCAGAATCCCAGCCCTGCCTGTTCTTTGCTGTGTGATCTTGAGCAAGTCTCAGCACCTCTCTGAGCTCCAGATTCACCATCTGTAAAATCAAGATAATAAAGCAAACAAACCTTCGCTATCTCTCAGGGTGGTTGGGTGGTTTAAATAGAATTACGTGTGGCAAAGTGTTTTGTAAACCACAGGGGGACTCCTGTCCTGGAAGATGCAGCCTGCTGTCACCAACATAATCAAGCGCTATTCCAAAACTCAGCCTGGGATTTCCTCCTTCCTCCCCTGCGCACTCCCCCCAGGCCAACTTCATTTATTCTCTCTCCTTAAAGACTTCTACATTTGCACTGCAGGCTGTTAAAACTCCTAATTCAGAATAACCCGATAAAATGCTCTGGGGGGCTTGCTGGTTCCACATAGATATACAAGGAGCAGGTTGGCTTGAAACACAAAACTCAGAGGCCCAACTGGGGTGGAGGTGCATTCCGCGGGCCTGGAGGAACGGCCCCAGCCGCTGAGCTCCCTGCAGCCAGCTCATTAAGTCCTAATCACCAGGACGCTGGGCCAGGTGGCAGGGGCTGCGTGAGAGGCGCTCAGGGAGCAAATCCTGCACATTTTACCTGGAAGCCGGCCTAAACAGGACCCCCGGCCTGGGGTCACAGGCCCCTGCTCACGTCGCCCATCCTGTGGTCCAGGACCCCTTCCGTTTTTCCTGGAGCCCTGCTAAAAGCTAGAGCCAGATCTAGTGGGTGGAAACCCAATACACTCTCACCCGAAGGGCTGCTTCTGCCTTGGAAGAGGAAAACGCAACGGATCGCCCAGGGCAGGAGAAGAGAAGGGCTGAGAAACTGCTGACTTGCTTCCTTTCAGCCCTGTTTTTGTCAGCCTGCCGAACCAGAAGCCCTGTAGGAGCAGGAGGATGGCCGGGCAGCCCAGAGGTTTGGCCTGAGGCCCTGGCTTTGCTGATGGTTACTTGGGCAAGTCACTTACCTTCTCGGGGCCTTAGTTTCCTCTCCTGCACAGTGGGAGTAGGAATGCGTGTTCCGCCTGTCCAAAGGGCTGGAGGAACAGGGTAGAAGGAGGTGCGTGCCTGTGCCGGTGGAGAGGGGATGAGCCCCAGTAGCAGCTTCTGTTGCAGAATCACCTGCCTTGTGCCAAATGCTCTGCACGCACCCTCCCACTGCGTCCTTCAGGACAAACATGACCCCTTCTGCAGATGAAGAAACAGGCCAGCTGGCTCCAAAATTCATGCTTTCTGCCTTAGAGGCAAGCTCCAGAGGTGGCCCGGGTCTGGAGAAATCAACAGGCAAACCTTCCATCCTTCATTCATTCAGTAGGAGTATTCTGGAACCCAGCTAGGCCGGGTGATGACAATAACGACACGTGCCGCTGCCCACAGGGAGCATTTTCTCTCCTACTAAAGCCCTGCCTGCCTGTGGCCCGGTCTCGGGAGGCCTCTATGATTTAGCTCCAGGCCACAGGACAAAGCTAGCACAGATAGGCTGTTAGACTTTTGCTGGGCAGATCACCAAGGCAGAGAAAAGTCCTTCCGGTGAATTAACAGGCCATGCTGCAGAGCCAGAGTTCTGGGCTTAAGGACAATAACCACATCAAGAAGAATAGCAATAACTAGCATGTGGTGAGCCTTCAGTCTGTGCCAGGCAGTGCTGGGCACTTTAGACATGTTCTCTCAGTCCCCTCTGCAGTCCTACGAGTTGAGGGCATTTGCTGTCCAAGGTCACACAGCCAGTGAGGGGCAGCACAAGGCTCGCAGCCTCATCTTTCTGCTTTCAGGGCCCACGCTCTTATTGGCAACTGCTCTCCCGACACGCTGAGTGACTTTGAGCAAATCCCTCTACTCCCTGGGCCTCAGTTTCCCCACCTGCAGATTTCTGGAATAGGACTTGCTGGCATCTCATCCAACTCTGACAATCCGGAGTCTTAACCTGGGAGATGAAAGGGGAAGGAGGGTCCATGACTGCCCTCCGGGACCCAGGAAGGCCCTCCTCCCTCGAGAAGGGGATGCACAGCCCGGCTGGGCCTCAGCTGAGCAGAAGGAGAAGCCTCGGGATGGGGGGTCAGTCCCGCTGGACAGCTTCTCCCTGGAAGCCAAACTCTCACTGACGCCAAAGTGAAAGCCCCTCTGTGACCTCCCCATGGCAAGCTGCTGCTGTAAGGGACTCTAGTTCTGAGCGCTAACGAGCTCAGAATGTCAAATTCCATCAGCCAGGCAGTGTGGACACGAAGCGATGAAACTTCCCATTCTGGGAGGAGGTATGTTTCTCTTGCCTTTTTCGGGTTTTGTGGTAACATTCGTCACTGCTACACATGAAAATAAAAACCAGATGGAATCCCTGAGACGAGGAGAGGGTCTTCCCATCCCTGTGCAGTAGGACAAAGCCCACAGTGGGCACCTAGTCGGAGGGGCTGGCTATCTACCCCTCAGCAGAGCAGCCTCCCAGCCAGGCCCACAAGGCGGCAAACACCTGGGTCTGACCTGTCTTTTCTCTGGGCCTGAGGTCCTGGAGCAGGTGAAGAGCTGAGGTCTTCCCAGCCCTCCCAAACTCCAGCCTAGCCATGAACACTTGCCCCTCTCTTCTTCCTCCCAGGAGCCTCTGTCCAGACCCTGGGCACATGGCCAGGGCCACTCACCAAGAGCATGCCTCAGTGAGGCCTTGTTACAAGCTCAGGGCACTGAACAGGACACAGTGGACGAGACCAGAGCCTGAACCTCACCTCCTCCAGGAAGCCTTCCCTAACCACCACAGCCTTTCCCTTCGAAGTCATCCTATGCTTTAAAACCAAGTTCCATGACTTCCTCTTCCCACCAGCTTGCCTTGCTCACTAAATTTGTTGTATGTGGCTTCTTTAGATCCTCACCCAGACTGTCAGCAGCTCCTAGGGGACAAGAAGCACTCAGTAGTCGCCCTGAGGACCCCATGGTCCCTAGCACAGTGCCTGGTTCGATGAAGCTGCTCTATAAATGTGTGTGGGAAGATGGAGTTACAGCACCACTTTGATACACGCTAATAAAGCAGTGACGATCCTCTCCCGACGCCCTACTATGTGCTGCGCACTGGGCCAAGTACTTGACCTGCATTAACTCAATCCCACAACGACCCCGTCAGGTGCTATTATTCCCAAGTTACAGACGAGGAGCAGAGAGCCAAGACTTGTCCAAGGAAAGGGACAAAGCAAGAATTTGCACCCAAGCCTGCAGGCCCGGAGCTGTGTCCTTCCCCACGCCCTGTGTTGAGACTGGAGGCAGGTCAGTCCTCTGAGGCGTCTGGGATGAGATCTGCCCCTCTCTGATCTGATCTGGGAAGGTAAAGGGGATGGGAGAAGATGGATTGGCCAACGCTCCCTCCCTAAGCCTCAGCTTTGCCACACAGCTTGGTTGGTCCCCTATGCACAGGGATGCCCACCAACTGCAGCCCCACCCATTCTGGGGCAGCTGAAGCCACACAAGTCAGGAGAGGCCAGTCCAACTCGGGCTCAGCTAGGAGCTGGCGGCCTCTTTCCCCTTCCACGGCAAATCTCTTAGAGGCCCAGGCAGAATGTCCATTTGCTCATCTACAAAGTGAGGAGGGTCCCTGGCCACTCGGAGGGCTGGTGAGCAAAGAATTAGAAAGAGGGCTGTTCCTAACTTAGGCACCTGATGGGGGTCGGAGCAGGGTCTGAGCCGGGTCTGAGCCGGGTCCTGCCCACTCGCACTTCTTCCTGACAAGGGGGTGTTTCCCTGAGTCAGCTCCGTCCTGGAAGAGCAGCAACTCCCACCCGGCTGCTCCCGCAACAACAGGCGATGGAGGGGTGAGCTGGCGGCTGGGTGCTGGTCCCTGAGGGAGGGAGGCGGATCAGCTCCCTGAAGACAATGCAGCCGGGCCCCTCCCCCAACAAAGCCCCAAGGACCTTTTCCTTTATTTTCTCTCTTTCGCCAAACCCCCAGCCTGAGAGCATTCCAAATGAACTGCTTGTCTCCGGGCAGGAAGCTCTCCACAGTGTTCAGTCTGATCCATCTCAGCCTCGGGGGCCTCCAGGACAGGGCTACCAGGCCCCCTGCACATGGAACATGGCCTGTGTTTGCTGACTGTGTCCTGCGTCCTGGATGGGCCGGCAGGACATACTAAATGTCCAGTATTCAGTTTCTGTCCATAAATGACAAAACTTCAGCCGTTAAAGCTCTTTTCTAATTTACCTGGGCATCTGGTATTTTTGTCTGCTAAGTCTGGCCATGCTACCCCCTGGCAGGGTCCAGGCGTTCTGAAACCAGCAACGATACCCACACTGGCTGGGGGCAGGGGGCTAGTTTCTATGTGGACCATGGAAGCAGCTCTGTGAGTGTGTGTGTGTGTTACGTGTGTGCATGGGCACAGGGGCTCCCATGCCCACGGGGAGTGTGCTCTGTGTGTGCACAGGTATAAGCATGTTCAGGGCATGGTTACAGGGCATCTCCACCCAGCTCTGACAAAGCATGCCAGGTACAGGAAGACTCACCAGGGGTCTGGGTGAGCTACACTAAGAGGAAAGATTTCCCAATCACCTTTCCCGTTGGAATCGTTCCTTATAACTCAGCATCCCTCCTGCCAGGCCTCTCTCTGAGGACTGATCGGAGGCCCCTCCTGGAGCCACTCTACATGAGATGTTCAAGGAATATCACAGACCTATCCGGCTGAGAAGTCTTCTGGTCCAACTCCTTCACTGCCCCAGTGAGAAAACGGAAGCCCAGAGAGGGAAAGGGACTTGCCCAAAGTCACACAGCCACCAGAGAAACAGCTGGAACAGGAATAAGGGTCTCCTGGTTCTAGCCTAGGGCTCATCTTACTGCATAAATTGAGTCTTTCTTACAGCAGGGCACAGTCAAGAGAAAGTTGCACTCTTGAGAATTCAGTGGGAGCCATTTGCTCCCCAAACTGCAGAAATAATATAACAGTGGCTAGCATTTATTGGGCTCTTCCTGCATGCCAGGCTTACTTAATTTACAATGGCAATTCCATGGTGTAGTTTTATTACTGCCCTCATTTATGGATGAAGAAACTGAGGCCAAGAAATTTGCCCCAGGTCACACAGCTGCTAAGTGCATGGTCACTTTAACCAGACACTTTGAACCGTGGTAGAAAGCTGGCTTTCTAGTGTTAGATAAAGCGGGTTCTGCAGACACTTCTTTCTGAAAAGCTGGCGTGAGTGAGGCCCATTAAGACAGGCCAGGATTTCATCATCAGGGTCTGAACCCTTTCTCTCCAAGCCAAGGGCAGCTCCATCTCCTAGCCGCTTCCCTTCTTGCCCAAGTCGTTAATTTCAGCTAAGTTTTTTTTAAACCCACCTCACTAAGAGAGTTTCCAAGACTGACGGCCCAGACAGGGGGCCGGAAGTGATCCTGTTTCTACCTTGTAAACCTTGCCTTTCAACGTGCCCCTTGAGACAAGACACTTTCTCTTCTTTCCTCCTGAATGGCTCTTGGCTCTACACCCCCACACCCTCCGCCCCTGTCTTCCCGCCATCCTCAGTTCAGTCCAGCCACTTAATTCAGCAGCCGTTTGTCCCAGTGCCCCCGACACCACACAGGTGTACTGTGTCCTTGCTTTCGGGAAAGTAAGTAGTTTTTTGGTGGGCGGCCAGTAAAGGGGACTGGATACGGGCAGAGAGGGGTACACAGCCCCTCCCCAGGGGACTGCCCCCAGGCATGTTATTGAGTGCTCCTGAAACCCAATGCCCGCCCAGTGGGGCAGCCAGGTGTGCCCCAAGACAAGGCTGTTTTTCCTCTCCTGGAAGAGGCCTCAACCTGCCGTGACGGGGGGAAGGGGCTCAGCTTCCTGCAGCCAGGGCTGCCTGGGCCGCCCTGCCAGGTGGGATCTCACCTCCAAGGACCCTCTGGCTGCATCTGCTTGCTCTCCCTGCTCCCTCCTTCTGGAACCTAGATTTGACTGCCCGGCCTTGCCCCCTGGCCTCCCTTATGTCCCCCATCACTCTTCATCCACCTCCTGACATTCCTGGGTCGGTCAGGGTTACCCTCCTCCCACATTCCTCTCCACCCTTCTCAGCACCCTGCTCCCCAAAGCCTGCCCCCTGCTCGCTGCTGCCTCCGTGAGGTCCTCCTCCTCCCCAGGCTGAGCCTGCTACTCCTTGGTACCAGCTGCAGATGGGCTTGTCTGAGGCCAGACAGCACCTCAGCTCAAATCCCTGCTCTGTCATGTGCTGGCTGTGTGACCTCGGGCAAGACTCTGAACCTCTCTGAGCCCAGTGTCCTCATCTATAAAATGGAGGTATGAGAGTCCTCATCTTTAGGGTTGCTATTGAGAGGATTAAATGATGTAATGCACATAAATTTCAGAGGCCAGCTAAAAGCACACTCAACAATCAATACTGCTAACAGAAACTGTAATAGGATCTTATTTGGCATTCTAAACCCCCACACCTGCCATCTTGACTCTTTTTTTTTTTTTTTTGGTGAGGAAGATTGTCCCCGAGCTAACATCTGTGCCCATCTTCCTCTATTTTGTATGTGGGATGCCACCACAGCATGGCTTGATGAGTAGTGCTAGGTCTGTGCCCAGGATCCTAGCCCTCAAACCCTGGGCTGCCCAAGTGGAGCACGTGAACTTAACTGCTATGCAACCAGGTCAGCCCCATCCATCATGATTCTTTTAATGTATGGTTTCCCCAGTATTGACCTTTTACTGTTTTATTTTTACATTATAATTTGTTTATACCTCATAGATATCATTAATTAAGTTTAATTATATTCCCTGTGGGCCCCCCAAATATTTTTTGTAATGAGGCAGGAAAGACAGGCACACAGAGAGACACACAGACACTGGCAGGAGTGACAGGGAAGGCATGACACGAAGAGCCCAGGGCTGAGGGAGGGAGCAGGGCAGAGAGACCAGCAGGAGAGGTAACGGAACAGAGATGGAACAGCACTGTGGAGCTGGGCACCGAGGAGCGACCAGGATGGCGAGGACCAGCCCTGCTCCCACGTGCTCCCATCGGAGAAACTGGATTGACTTGCTTAGACAGGAGTAACTGTTTGGGGCAGTAAGATGGGGAAATGACCGAGAGGCCCCAGAGGGCTGGCTGGGAAATCCAGGTAGACTTCCTGGAGGTGAAAGGCCTGGAGACCACCCTAAAAGGCAAGGAAGGTGTGACAGAACAGTAAGGGGACAGGAGGAGGCATTTTAGGCCCTTGTGAGCAAAGACTGAGACCAGGAACTTAAAAGGAAACCCCAGCAGGAAAGCTCCTCACCATTGCTCCATTTCCACAATGCACATACATACATACACACACACCCACATGCACAGCCATACACACACACATTCATACACACACACACCCATAAACACATACACACCCATGGCTTTGTGAGGGGCCCTCTCCCCACCCCTCAGCACACACAGTGTCACCCACACACACCCGACAGAGCCCACAAGCCCTTCCCTGGCTGCAGCCCTGTGGAATGTCTCAGGTCAGGCCTTGTGCCCTCTGCTGCCTGGCCTTGGCACGCTTCTCAGAGGCTGCTGGGAGGCTTCAAACACAGAAGAGGGTGGGAGAAAGTGAGAGGTGGCCCCTCGGGGGTGGCCATGGGGAGAGATTGCTCAGTGAGTCACCACGATGTCCTGACCGAAGGGTCCAGAGACTGGAGACAAACGCCACTACTGCTCCATCCTCACCTGCACACGTCCCTCCCCCACTGGACCCCCTGCCTGGGGCACACAGAGGGGCTGCAGACATATCTCCGTGGGTCAGCCTAGAAAGTCATGCAGCCCTGCTTGCCCCGAGGCCTACAAGCCCCCCAGAGCCCACGGGCCAGCCGGGCCCCACCACCGCCCAGACATACCCGCTTCTCCCTCCACCACTCCAGCACAGGTAACGACAATGCTCTTGAGGAAACCTGAGAGGTCGGCTCCCTTGAAATGGAGAAGGAGGCCAAGAGACACGCTTCCCACCTTTCAAAAGGAACTGTTTGGGATAATTAATCAACACATCACCAACACCAAGGGATTGTTTCATATCAGAAAACATATAATTAAGAAAACAATAGCAGGCTTGTTGTGGATTTTGTTCCTAAAGAATGCTAATTATGTTTAGCACCCTGACACATCCGAAGGTTTACCCCCAATATTTAGAAATCAAACAGAAGTTGGCTGCGAGGTCTCTCTCCACCTAGACTTAGAGCAGGGAGGGTCCCGAACAAAACGGGCTTCCAACAGGTCTTGGAATCGGCTTTTCAGCCCGTGGGTGCTGCGCCAGTGACGAGAGGCCCTTGCAATTGCTAAATTGCCTCGCTATTGCTTAATTACACCTTCCGATCAGCACCTAATTTGCTTAGGGTGCAACTGAGCTGCTGCGGGTGTAATTACTTGCCAGGGACACTACTTAACAATGCAGCCACAGCTGCGGACATTGGGAGCCCTGCTCAGCTCTGCCTGGCAAGGCTACGGCCCCATAACTGTGGTTTCCAGGGCCCTGGCCCCCAGCAAGTCAGTATAAAGGAAGGCAGCCCTGGCCCAGCTGCTTCCTGGAAGTGACCTGGGTGCCAGGAAGCTCAGAAAAGTCCATCTGGAGGTGTTTAGAGAGTGACTAGGAGGACCCTCCTGGACGGACCCTCCTAGTGGGTCCCTCCCTGCTGCCCCTCCAAGCAGGTGACTCTAGAGTATGACCACTCTGCCCACATTCTGCTTCCACTATCCTCATAGCCCCTGCTGGAGTTTGGCTCCCATGGGTACCCATACCGGGGCAGAGCAGGGGAAGGGTGGCTGAAGATGCTGGTACCCAAGGGGGACAGGCGCATGACCACAGGCACCAAAGCCCCTAGTCAGGGAGCAAAGCCCCCCTCCTGAGACCCTCGAACCCTTCTAATGTCTGCAAGATGGCCAGACTGGCAACACCAAGATCCACGGTCCCCACAAAGGAAAAGGGAGGCACCCACATTACCCCCAAAAGACACACACGCAGACCTTCTTGGAAAGGAAACCCTTCAGATGGGAGGAGGGTACCAGTGTTTGTAGAAGGGCCTGCCCATGTCCCAGATGGGCTGTCCTCACACAGACCCTCAGGGAGTTCACACCCGGGGGAGGGGACTGGAGGGTGTTTCCATGTGGTCCCATGTTTACTCACAAATTGTGCATCACCTCACAGTAGAATTATTAAGGAATCATGGCATTGGGGTTTAGCTTTTAAAAGAATCCTGTTAGAGATATGTCCTAAAATTGTTACTAGTAAAAAGATACAACGTCAGGAATTTGCTTCAAAATAGCAGTGGGTTCAGGTGGAACAAGATCGCTCTTGAGTCGATAGTTGGTACTAGTTTGCTATGGCTGCTAAGGATCACATTGTGGGTGGTTTAAACATCGGAAATTTATTTCCTCATAGTTCTGGAGGCTAGAAGTCCAAGATCAAGGCGTCAACAGGAATGGTTCCTTCTGAGGGTTGGGAAGGAAGGATCCTCTCCAGGCCTCTTTCCTTGGCTTGTAGAAGGCCCCCTTCTCTCTGTCTTCCCTCTGTGTCTGGGTCCAAATTTCCTCTTTTAATGAGAACACCAGCCATAAAGGATCACGGCCTCCCTAATGACCTCATTTTAACTTGATTACCTCTGTAAAGACCCTGTGTCCAAATGAGGTCACATTCTGAGGTCCTGGGGGTTAGGACTTCAACATAAGAATCGGTGGGGGAGGGGCACAAGTCACCTCCTAACATCATGGAAGACGGAGGATGTACACATTTCACTATTCACTCTACTATTGTATAAGTCGGCAACATGTTTCATCATAATGGGAGGGAAGGGGCACTTGAGGAGGCAATGCTTTGAACAATTGTCATCTCACCAAGTGAACTCCAGGGAGATAAGACCTGTTCTCCAGAGCTCAAAAAAAAATCCTAAAATTCAGAGCTGTTTCAGAAGAGACAACGCAACTTTGGGAGGTAGTGAGCTTCCCAGCTCTGGAAAAATCCAAGCCAAGGCTGCACGGCCACCAGTGGGGCCTTCTACAGGATTCCTTCTCTGGGGGGAAGCTGGCCCGGCCAACTTCTAGGACTTTGCCCAACTCTTGATTGCCAAAAAAGCCAGTGCAGTCTTGGACTGCACTAACGGAAGTACAACGAACGGCCAGAATAGCGAAGGGGGAGTCCCGCTCTACTTAGAACTGGAGGGAAACATCTGGATCCTGGTGCTCCATTCGGGGAACCCCATCACAAAGGGGACATCAAGCATTTAAGAACCACAGGGTCACATCTGGAGGGGAACAGCCAGGTGTGGAAAGAGCTGTGGAATCCACTTTTACCTGTTCCTTTTGTATCCTCCCAGAAAGATGATAAGGAACTTCGAACAAATATACACACCCTTTATGTATTTCTTTTACACTAATGATATTCCATGCACACTCTTTTTGCTTTTACCAACCACCATTTACATATCTTAGAGATTCTCCCATTTGAGCACATAAATTATGCCTCATTCTTTTTAACTGCTGCATAACATCCTATCCTAGGGTAAATTATTCTACCAATCCCCTACTGATGGATATTTAGATTGCTTCGAATAATTCCCTATAGCAAACAATACTTAGTAATCAATGTTATATATATGTCACTTCACATGAATGAGTATATCTGTGGAATAAATCCCTATAAGTGAAACAAAGAAAGAAAGAGAGAGAGAGAAAGATTGTTGGAGGAAGGAAGAAAAGAGGAAGAGAGCGGGCTGGCCCCATGGCCGAGTGGTTAAGTTTGCGCACTCTACAGCAGGGAGCCCAGTGTTTCGCCGGTTCAAATCCTGGGCGCGGACATGGCACCACTCATCAAGCCACGCTGAGGCGATGTCCCACATGCCACAACTGGAAGGACCCACAACTAAGAATATACAACTGTGTACCAGGGGGCTTTGGGAAGAAAAAGGAAAAAAAATCTTTAAAAAAAAAAAGGAAGAGAGGAGGAAGGGAAGAAGCAAGGGAGGGAGGGAGGAAGGGAGGGTGGGAGGAAGCAAAGAAAGCAAGAAAGAAAGGAAGGAAGGAACGAACGAACGAAGGAACAAATGAACAAATGAAGGAAGAAAAAGAGGGAATGAGGAAAGAGATGCCCAGAGAAGGGGCCGGGCTCAGGCGAATGGCTCTCCATCCTTCCTGGAGACAGACACAGGCAGGTGGGTGAAAACCACAATCAGACAGGCAGCAGGAAGGACACAGGGTCAGGATGGGGTTATGCTGAGTTCCTATCTCTTTACAGTGACCCCACCCCATCCCAGCTTCGTCCCTTTGACTGGTAGGAGACAGCAAGTCAGGGGTCCTCTCCCTCATGGGTGCCCTCCATCACTCCATTGGTCTGCACTAGAAGGAGAGGCCAGTGAGGGCCTCGGGCTGGAGGGCAGTAACAAGACCCCGACCTATGGCCGCGGGGGCGGGGAGGGTGGTGCCAGACTGATACAGCTCATAAACTGCTGGCACATAGTCGATGT